CAGAAACGAAAGTTTTGCGCATTCCTGATCTACTCAAAACCGTCAAGGCACCCGCATTCGAGCTCCCAGAAGACATCGATGGGGACTTTGTGGTATTTGGCGTCGTTGCGTCCAAGTCCGCCCCAAAGGACAAGAAAGCTTCGGGGAACGCGTCGGCTAAAGAAAATAACCCTTATGATGATGGACTAAACAATACGAACAGATATATGGCCATTACCCTGACCGATCTGAAATGGACTATTGACCTCTTCCTTTTTGACACTGCTTTCCCCCGTTATTACAAAATCTCGGAAGGGACTCTCATCGCAATTCTGAACCCCACAATCATGCCTCCACCAAAGCATAAGCTGGACACAAACAGATTCAGCTTGTCCTTGTCCTCATCAGATGACAAGGTCCTCGAAATTGGTAAGGCACGCGATATTGGGTTCTGCAAGGCTGTGAGAAAAGACGGAAAGACCTGCGAATCCTGGATAGATGGTCGAAAGACCGAGTTCTGTGACTTCCACGTTGATATCCAGGTTCGACGCACCCAGGGCCAACGCTCGGGAGTTAATGCTGATACGGGTATGCTTGGTCCCGGTGGTAAATCTGGCTCGCGCACCGGATTATTTGGGGAAACAAGGAGGCGAGCAGCTATTTTCAAGCAAGGCATGAGATACGATGGCCCTCAGTATGACATGGGGTCTCAATCGCTCTACTATGTGGCGCCCTCCAGAAACCGCGGGGCTGGCCGTTCGTTTCAGAATCCCATGGGAGACTCGGCGGCAAATCTGATTGATTCGTATGACGATCCTTTCCTTGCTTCGGGTATGATAGGCCGCGGTATAGAGAGCAAGGAGGAACGAATGCGCAGGCGTCTTGCGACCCAGCAGCGAGAGCGTGACATCACCCAAAAGCTAGTTACCGGCCGTGTCGGTGGTGTGGGCGCCGAGTACCTTCGCGCAAGGACCAGCAACGAGGGTCCCAACAAAGATAAAGCAGCAGACACCCCTTTGCCCAAGAGCCCCACGACAACCAGCGGCATGGATATGACCACCTTTGGCAAAGCCAAGAATGTCCGTCTAAGCCCAATGAAGCGTGCTCATGACAAACCCCATGGCAGTGGGGTTAAGAAGACGCGGTTCATCACTTCAAGGGGTATCAGGGAGGCTGGCCGGGAGAGCCTGGGTGCGCCAGCTGAGACCACGCTCAGTGGGAAACAGGCACTCTTGGATGATGACGATGACGATGACCTGGAATTCATTTGACGGATTCAAATGGCGATATCCATCTGGTCACTAATCGACCTAGGAGTTCTCCTTGTGGACAGGAATACCCATAACGCTGTAACGAATAAAAAGCATGTCCCGGCTGCACTGGGCGGATTTCCTTTTTGTTGGATTTGTCGAGGACAAGGCTAGATACAACCCCTGTAGTGAATCGATGTGACGACTAATGTATTTGTATTGTCCCCTTGTCTACAATGTCCAGGTGGGTAAGTACACCCGGCTACTACCGAAAGCTTGTTTTGACTACACCAAATGGCAGTCTTTCTCAACAGAGAAATATGCCTTTGCGAGGGACTTAATACCAGGAGTTACAGGAAAAAGTTTCGAGATATCCTGAATTCTATTGAGCTGTCCTGTTTTACTATGATTCCTCCCGTGATGACCAATAAACCGCTTCCAGATGAATGAAACAACAAACGAATGCGCCGGTACCATCAGAAACAATAGAAAGAAAGAAAGAAACAAGAGCGTAGATGAAAAGACAGGAGGAAACGCCCTTATTCCAATTTAATACATGTTTTCATGAGGTATCCTTAGTGTTCACGACTCCCAAGCCCGCGCGCGCCATTGAAACAACAAAACGCAAAGAGACAAGAGAAACCCAGCGGCCTGCGCAATTACAAGATGGCCGTCGTGGGGAGAAAAAACGGCATAAGGAAAAGAAAGCCGACGAAAAGGTTGCTCCCAGGCGCAACCAACAAACAAAAGATTGGCACGCACTTCGCGCCAAGTCCGGTGCACGCAAATGAAAGAAAAGTAAAAATTCCCAAAGCGCTGAATGATGCAAAGTCGTGAAAAAAAGGTGACACCTTGGAGACCTAGGAATCAGACGTAGATGCCTCAGCGGTCGAGGTCGCGGATGCTTCCGCGCGCGCAGCCTGTCGGGTGCGTGGAGCAGGGCTACCACGCGCCTCGCGAATACGCTTGGTGCGGTCGGTGCGGGCCTCGGCCTCCCGCGTCTTCCTGCTGACAGACGGCCAGTACTTCAGGAGGCTGCTACCACTGCTGACAGATAGGCCTCGGGATCGAGCCTGATCCCCATTAGAAGAGCCGAAACTAACGTCCTCAGAAAAAGAGAAAGGTGTCACATCGTCCACGGCAGGTCGATGGAAACGGAGGCCAGTACGTCTAACGGGGGCAGTGTGATAGACAGATGAGGTCTCAGATTCAAAGGAGGGGGTAGATAGATCTGGCAAGATGGGAGGAGTCAGATATGCCTGGTCTTCATAAGCCGGAGTTGGAGACGTTGGCTCATGATCCTCGACATCGGTGATATCCTCCTCCGCACCATCAGTAGGGTCAGCGGGCTTATCGGTAGGCTCGGCGGGCTCAGGGAAGAGGATACGAGGCTTGATGTCGCCGCGTCTCAAAGGCTTCACACTCTTAAGGATATCGGGGTTATCAGCCAACAGGTCAGGGCGGTTGGCGAAAAGGCCAAGGTCGTCTTCATCCTCGCCCTCATCTTCCATGTCGTCAAAGCGCTTGAATATCTTTTTTCCACGCCTAAATTACAAGTTAGAATATGCGAATATGGTGGGTACATGAGGTTTGACTTACTGGACAAAATAGGCTCCATTTTTATGGCTGGTGGTTGAGCGAGTAGCAGGTCGTCCGACCGCTCGTGCCTTGGTAACGAACGAATCAGTCGAAAGTGGACCGATCACAGGGATGCGATCACGCGAGTCCTCATGAATGGAGATACCCAATTCTTGCTCGGCAGTTTCAATGTTGTACCCTCTCAAAGGCTCATCGACGAAGATGTCCAGGGATTCTGCGGCAGAATATTTGGGGGTTTCCATTTTTCTGCGTTTGGGAGTGGATGTGGAAGGAAACAGAGAGCGAGATGTAGAAGAGCCAGAACTGATTACCTTCTTCTTCGAAGGTGTTTTAGCTGGTGTGGGTAAAGCTCGTTCTGCAGAGGAACGTGAGGTGTGTTGTGCAGAGGTGCGGGGAAGTGAAAGTTCCGAATCAAAGGGGGAAATTCGGGAGGCAGCAGTTCTGTGAGAGTGTGCACCCTTTTTAGGCGAGGGCTTGGTAGTGCCAGGTGATGAGGGCGAAAGAGTCCGTTTAGCTGCTCCATGTTTGGCAGATGTGCTTGGGTGGCTTGGGGGCGGTGTGGTTTGGACCCTTGACGCTCGTTGACCAGCAAGTCTAGCAGAGTAACGTGTAGGGTAAGGTTCATAGTTGTCATGCTTCGCCCCATGTCGCGGTGCTCTAGGTACACGAAGCTTAGACGGGGAAGGCGGCGGTGGTGTTGACGCCATGTTGACTTGAATCACGATTGAATAACCGTTCGAAGGTTTGCAATCTTTCGAGTAGAGGTATAAATAGTATATCACAATCTATCCCAGGGCTTTTTCTGGATTTGGCGATTTTGGTAAAGTATCGAAAAGGAGCGTTGATTCAATCAAGGGCGTACCACGTCCGACTTGTGAGATATTCAAAATAAGGCAAGCACCCGGAGATATAAAAGTCTAAAGAAGGTATGAAGCGTGATCTTGCAGATATCCAATTGTCCGAGGCGATGAAACTAAAATCGATAAGTTGGGGATGAAGGGAGGACAAAGTTGTTATTGAAAGCCGATTGTCGCCCAGCCACCGGGTATCCTCACCGCCCGATAATTGCGGTGGCTGAAAACCCCGCATCAAACAATGTTGACTTCCTATTTCGATCTACCCCAATTGCTTGTTTGATTATCTTACAACTGTCAGTCTTGTCGATCATCAGCTGTCAATTAACCTTCAACTATTTCGGACGCACAGTTATCCTCAAACTAAGCCCATTCAGGTGTTCAGTCTATCGAGATTGCTTGTACATACTTCGGCTCCTGCTCTGAAAATTCAACATGGCTTTCCGCACCACAGCAGAAGAAATGGAGAGGCTTCAGCTATCTGATGATGACACAGAGGACCTCTGGAATTCACCATCCAAGAGAGTGACCCGCAAAAAGATCAACCCAAGAACCTCCGATGAGAAAATTACACCAGAACCTCGAGCTTCCCATGATGGCGAGGATCCTCTCTTTGATCATCAACAGGCTCGAGAGACTGCGCTCCGGACAGAATTACAAGGTGTGCGGAATATCAACGAAGTAATAGAAGGGCTTCTGGCAAGTTTGAATTCTGCCAAAGGGAACATGGAGGTAATATATTCTTCTCATAATGCACGGTCAATACTTTGGCTAATCATCTGTATAGACGGTCTCACAAACCGTTACCTCGGCCTCGACACTCCTCAACACGTGGACTCGCATTCTCTCCCAAACCGAGCATAATCAGCGACTGATCCTCAACCCCGATTGGCAAGGCGCTACTCAGGATGTGATCGATATCGAGAACCAAGCGATCCAAAGACAACAAGCGGCAGAAAGACGCGAACAGGCACTTCAGCAACAGCGAGAAGCAGCAGCGAGAAAGGCCGAGGAAATCGAAAAACGACGCGCACAGGTCACTCGGGGTACTCGAGGCACCCGCGGAACTACGAGGGGCACAGTTCGAACTACTGGATTAGGAAGAACGCCCAGTGTCAGCACAAGCCGCACGGCGACACGAGGGTCTACGACAACAACCCAACGGCCAGCCAGCGGGATAGCACGAGGTAGCGGGATTGCTCGCGGTCGGGGGAGAGTCTAGATGGACTGCGCTAGTTTATGTATAATAAATCTTTGACTATGAAGATACTGAATGATATGATACCCTTACTTGATATATTGTCGCCTGAGGCATCAGATGGGCAGTTACGCGTCGCGATCTGATAACGATAAGGAGATGCTACTCCAAATTAATCCCCTGATGCCCGAAGATCATTCCGTCATTCACCTTTCCAGGTATGACAACATGATGAACTTCGCCCCTTATCAAGATCAATCCCCGGAGCTTGAGCGCGCTCTATCGCCTCCCCACCCCGACAGCCACCGAATATCTCCAATCCTCCGCTCACCGCGAGCCTCGACCGACCTACCCTCGCCCAGTCACTTTGCTAGCAACGGACATGGCAACACGGGATTTGGACGAGACATCGAGGGTGGCCATGTGAGCTTAGGGGCCTTTGAAACAAGTCTACCCATTCGCATGGATATCGAAGCGGCACTAGCGTATCTGCTTCTGCCTCCCGCGGGGGGTGTATTCCTACTACTAGCTGAACACAAAAGCGATTATGTGCGGTATGTAATGGGCTTTATTATGGGGTTGAATAACCTGGCAAGCCCGGTTTGCTGACTATCTACTGTAGATTCCATGCTTGGCAATCGAGCATGTTATTTGCTACCATGTTTGTGTGTATTTCAATCCCTCCTAATACTGCATACGCTCACATGCCAAATAGATTATTCACCTACTGTTCTGCTGGTCAAGCTTTCTCTCCTGGGTTTTGTTCATTATCGATATTGCTTTGATCGGCTTCCTTAGCATGCATGCTTACCGAGATGGTGAGTCTTCCAAGGTTCTTCACGGGAGCTGCCGGTACAGCTGAGCTGTTCGTTGGCAGGAAAGATAGATCTTATACTTATCATATTACTCTAGTTGATACTCTGGACCACTTCGAAGTCCCATTTTTTGGCCGTCTAGCTAACTCCTTTGTTGATGATGAATGAATATGATCCTTTGGGAATTGCACGTGCTTGAATTATTACCGCGAAGCCTGTCTTTCCTTCATATACCCCTGTCTGTCAATACTTGCTAGCTTCTTTCTTTGGTTCTTCGGCAGGCTATGTGTTGATGAATGATTCTCTTTGTGTTTATCTTATTCCAAGTTTGTAAATTTTAGAATTTTTAATATTGCGAATATTCTATCTCACTCAACCCAATGTTTCCAAAATGCCGATGGTAGCGAATTGATTCTTCATGAATACATGAATATAGCAATCAGCATTGGTGATTGGTAATTGCCTATTAGAATAATCTTTCACCTCAAAGATATTGTATACCAGTTGTCCCGATCCATGTACCCGTAGAGTCTCGCTTCCTCTAAGATTCGTGTGCAAAACCCATTGTCTACAGACTGCAAGGAGAATCATCGATTGTAGTTGTGGTGGTATGAGCCGCTTTAGGGGGAGGGACCAAGTACTGTAGCCTCACATCGGAAGTATTTTTCGGGTCTGTATGATAACGGCATGTCAGTTTAGACATTATTATAGCACCCAGTTGATTTTTTGGGGCGTAGGTCTCATCATAACCTTGTGCTCTAGCTTTCTTCAGCGTGATTGTGCGGAGTAAATATTTTGCTTTCAACCTCGTTGTGCCGAGAGCTGTTTTTGCTCGGATGTAGCAGTTCTTGATCCAGCAGCCGATTATATTCAATATACGATGTCTAGCAGAATGACAGTAATATTAGCATCAGCATCTCTGTAAAGTTTGCCTTTCTTATAAGATCATCATGTTCAATCTTATTTCTCGGTGGTCATACATACCGGATCACGATGGCGCATACAAGCATGAGCAACAATAGAGCACACATTGCTAGTATAATTACCCCTAAATATCCAGCAGCCAAATCAATTGCTGATTCTGATGCTGAATCAGACTTGTTGCTGGGAATAGGAGCCATTATTGGCAAGTAAAGATGTCAGTAAAGGTGAGGAAGGTATGAAGATAGAGAATAGTGTGAGGATGGTCTATATCGAGTCAAAACTTAAATGCACGTCTTTGGGTATACAAACTCAACGCCAGGTTTGCGTCAGGATGACCCGTGGACCTCTTTCAGATAATAATTCATCTTCGGCATACACCTCTAGGAATAAAGAGTGCTGATAGAGACAAGTACATTATCCGTGGGCAGAGCCAGCTGCTAGCGTGATCTTTTCTATAACATCTTAGTAACTGAACTACGAGGAACTCATCAGTCACTGAAAGGAGACTAGCAGGATGAGACGCTTGAGTTAAAGCTAAGAGGTTCTGGTCGATATCCTATTTAGTGGGGTTGTCATATTAGTTATATGCCAATCTTCCCTGCAAGTAAGACCCGGGGTACGGCAGTCTCCAACCGCCAGTGCGCCGTATCAGATTTCCCTAGCTCACCGCTGGTTTTTTATTACTATAGAGACAAGAATAGTCGGCCGCTTAAGCGGACTTATCGTGGTATTCTAGACAGTGTTTTATTTTCAATAATAGTTCGTTCCCCTTAGCTCCTTCCCCCGCTCCGCATCGAAGCTACTGCAAGCGGACATTTAAGAACTCGAATGCCACTGACCTAGTGTTTCTTACCTTAAATGCTTAATGGCTACATTTTCTATTGTTCTCTTCTTATTTCAACTCTCTACATTTTGATTCTATTTATTTACCAGCTAAACATATAGAGAGCCACATGGTGGTATCACATTCGCTATAATATCACAACAGGGAAGCCAAGTCAAGTAATATAAAAACACTATCCTGTTTTCCTCGGCCCATTCCTATTCCTCTCCATTCTTCCAGACCTAATTCTAGTTCTCTTAACGTTTGTAGACAGGCAGGGGCACCTCAGGTGGCCCGTAGTATTCGTAGTCGGGTGGATCTTCCGAGCTATCAGATTCATGTCTTATATATTCCACCGTGATATCTTGCATCTCGATGGGCTCTGAACAAAGACAGTACTAATCAGTAGCTTGACAGTACCTAGTTTGGATAGGTCTTCCTTACCAGGTGCAGTTGTTGTTCGTTGGCTATATATAACCCGAGGCGCTGCTTTTAGACCAGCCAGGCGATATACCCTTTTGAATGCATTTTGGAATACATCTTTAACTCCATCTTTGACTCGACATCCAGCTCCACAGATATCACTAGATTCCAGGACCTGTTAGTGTCTTTTTTTTGATGAGAACTGTTGGATTCGACACCGATAGAAAGAGATATTATCATCACTCACGACTTACCGAGCAAGTTTATCCCAAACAAGCGAAACGTTGCGTACACAATCACAACCAAATGGTCTAAAATAATGGAATGTCGCCGAAATTATAAAACCGCCGAGGGTTCCCCAAAGAACGCCAGATAGAACCCACCACATGGTAGATTCATCTGAAGAATCATCCGAGGAATCATCTGAGCGAGTACGCAAAGTAACGCCTCCATTACTCTGTGGCATCTGTATAATCAGGTGAGACATAGCAGGCATTCTCGGTAGACTCTTCTTGTTGAATTTATGATGGAAATTGTTAGAAAATGAGTGATACATCCATCAGTGATGGTCGTAATCTTTATTTGGTCTCCGTCACCCGAAGAGTTTCGGAGGTACAATTTTTAGAGGTACACTTCTAAGTTCAGATCAACCAAGAAATCGATATTCACTTCTCGGTATTAAAAAAGACAACTTGCACAGTGATATCATCCCGTACCCGTCGAGACAAAGGAGGGTCAAAGGCAAGCCGGCCTGCTATCAACTCGTGGTAATTTCCACCAAGGGAGTTACGCATCAGATGTACTGCTGCATTTTCATCTTGGATTGTCATTCTCTCCTTCTCAAACTGCCAGTTCACATCTGTCCAGAATCTGCCGAAGTCAAATTCCCCATCTGTCTTGTTCTCCTCGGTCCCTTGTGGTTCCAACCAGTTCACTACCAAGTCGACACCCTGCTCACTGGAGAGACAATCCCATAGCCCATCCGTTGCCATAATCAAGAACGAAGGTTTGTTAGGATCAATCTTAGTACTTGTCACGACCGGCTCGGCAGTCAAGTATGGAGGTGTGCGAATATCACGCCGTGGTGTTAGAGGGGCTGGACCATTGAATTTCCGCTTCATTTCCTTCTGAAAATCTAACGGCCACTTCCAGAGACTGTCACCAAAGGCTCTTGAGACCATGATTCCAAGAACCCGTCCATCTTTGGCTATGTTTTCCTCGCCAGGGTGCTCCTTAGAAATGCGGGTGGTCTCTTCTTCGTTACTGCCAGTTTGGTCAACTGACAAGGGAATTGTCTCCCACTTGCCGTCTGCTCCTTTTTGTCCTAAAACCGCTCTCGAATCCCCAGTACATGCAACGTGCAGCGTGCTTGTGATAGGATCGTATAGAGACAACAAAGCGCATGAACCAGCGTAAGCAGGAATCAGTTTTTTGACCTTGTCTTGGAATGATTCTTCGCTCTTAGATGTGTCCGGTGCAGTCTTGATAATGGAATCATCGAGGTCCACGAATCCTTTCATGATAGCGCGCTGCACTGACTCATTTGATACCGGTGAGTTAACTTCGGACAATCTGCGTCGCACGAAAGGCAGGAGTTGCTTCGTCAATAGGTCCGCTGTCTGCCAACCTGAATGTCCATCAAAAACAGCCCAGGACATCCATTGATCATTTTCATTCCACGGTGAAGAAACTTCGCCATGAATAAACCGGTCCTCACAGGGGCTATTGGACGCCAACTGGGCGCCGTCGTATCTGGTGACACCTGTAATATTTCTGACATGGAAGGAGTATGCCTCTTTCGATAACATATGTGTGATATCCTCTTTGGAGGGACCCGGCTCCGGGGCCAAGTGCTCCGCTAATGGACACTCGAGGTGGGGTACATCATCCCTTGCAGCGGTCAACCACCAGATTCCGGGCGTGCTGATCAAGCCGGCAGTCGCAATGTAAGCTTTCCAGTTTGGAGAGAAGTGATTTGTTGATAAGGAACGCTTGGTATGTGTCCGTACGATGGACGTGGTCACGCGCACTAGACGCGGTCGTATGCGACCTGATAACATGGTGGGTTATAGCTGGGAAGAAGCAGAAGAAGGAGAAGCTAAAGAACATTCAAGTCAATTGAACATTTCTCTGGATTTCGTCAAAAGGCGGTCAGATCATGAGGCTTTGAAGACAGCCTCGAAGAGGGGTAACAGGAAACACTCCAGAGCACATTGGCAGCCCTAAATGAAATAGCTACTCACAAGCCCCTAAGTAGGTAAACCTTTATTTACTTGATCGAGATATACTGTTAGATAATGGATACCGAGTGTCGGAAATGTTTTCTACTAAAGATTAAAGATATAGAATGGTGAGACTGAAGGATATGTATAACAAAAGCATTGGTATTGGGTCGAAAATGACTTTTAAAATATCAGACATAAGATTTACCAGAAAGCTCGCACCCTTGGAACGTACCTGCACCATGAGTTAAATCAAAAGTCTATCGCATCCAGTCCGAGGGACTGCAATCATCAATCAAGTATACAGGACTGTCTTCAAATCAATTTAGGCCACTACTTACATATATCATGGGAAATACATCGTAGAAAGGAGAGCATCAATTAGAGCAAAGCACGTCATATCCTCCATAAAAGCGTACAAACATAGAGAAAGGCAAATGATGAAGAATGGGGCAAGAAGCGGGAATAAAAATAAAAGACCATAGAGTGCCGAGGGTTCAGACAATTTCGCTGGATCGCTGTCGGGAAAGGAAAAAGACAAGAAAAAAAAAGAATTCAACAAATTCACATGAAGCACATAGTAAAAAGATTCCCAGAACAGAAACGCTAAAGTGTCCAAAAACATCCGCAAAAACATGATAAGATTAAACAAGTTGTTTAGTGATGTCAAGACGGGACTGTAGCACCATGCTGAGAATGAAAGCAAAATAGAAGCTGAGCCAGAAAGAAATCGCCAATGTGCAAGGAAAGTAGACGAAAGGCATGGTATCTAGGTGAGAAGAAAAAGAGCATCACCTTCAGGACGAATGTTCTGAGGGTCGTGGCGGGTCGTGAGTACAATGGGGTATTAAATGATTTGCAGATAATTGCTTGGCACAAGACCAGGGTGGCCACGGGCGTTGGTGACTTCGGCTTCCCACCACCCGTCATCCTGCAGACGGAGAACGGCAAGGACATCTCCCTTGCCAAAGGTGAGCTCTTCAGGGATGGCGGCATTGTAGGAGTACATAGCACGAGCTGTGAGGTTGGACTAAAGTTAGATACTAACAACGCATTGTGAAGAGGAGGAATAAATGCTTACCAAAGTGCAAGATTGGGCGGCCGTCACGGCTGAATTGACGTCCAGGCTCTGCAACAGCCATAGTACGGCTCCGAGATCGGCCAACAGGCGGAGCCTCACCATAACTCGATGAGGGGCGGCTGCCTCCTCGAGCTGAGCTAGCATATCCACCGGGACTGCTGGAACCGTACATATCGTGGTTTCCAGACAACTGCAGCTCCATGCCACCAGAGCTAGAAGGACGAGATTGCTGCCTGAACTGGGGGTTCGGGGATACAGCACGGTGGCTTGCAGCGGGCGAGGGCCTCCGAGCATACTCGTTTGGAGTGTATGGATCTTGAGTACGCCGGGGAGTGGGCGATCGGCTGTATTGACTTCGCATGCTGTTAGACTGGTAACTACTCGGAGTAGGGCTCGGGCCCCTGCCACTGTTCTGGCTCATCCGAGTATCCACACGGGGCTGAGGGCTGACGCTCCGTCTCGGTGCTGGCGATCTAGCTCGGGTGGCTTCTTGACCGCTATGTCTAGATCCCATACTGTCTTGGGTCTGACCACTATGCCTAGACCCCATGCTATTATTGTTGTTTTGCCCTCGAAGCATGCTCTGGGTTTGACCAGTATATTTCTGAGTTGTCTTGTGCATTTGCTTTGCTGTAAAGGCCGGTTGAGGTGCGCCAAGTCGCTTGACTGTGGGATCATTGTATGCTGGGGGCGGAGTAGCAACGCTAACACTGCTGCCACCATAGGTCGAAGAATATGTCGACGGAGTGGGTGTGGAGATGCCGTGATATCTATCTGCCGACACCCGAGTGGCTGACTGCTTGCCGCCCGTCTTGAGGTCTGCTAGAGCCCGCGCGATAGGGTCCAAGTCATCTTCAGATGCCTGATTCGGCTGTGATCCTTTCTGGGGTGAGCTCTTTTCTGGGGTTGCCACGTCAAAGACATTGTTCCCCACATTGAGCTGGAAGTTGGCTCGAGGGTCAACAGGCTCCGGGCTGCCAGAGGCACGACCCGGCAGGCCTCCCGAAGGCCTGACAGGGCTGACTTGTTTGGTTGGGCTAGCCTGCTTGGGCGGACTAATCTGCTTGGGCGGGCTCACTTGCTTAGGTGGGCTCATTTGCTTGGGCGGGCTGATGATTTGTTTGGGTGGGCTCACTTGCTTGGGCGGGCTCATTTGCTTCGTCGGACTGATTTGTTTTGTCGGCGAGTCCCAACCACTACGAGACGTGGAGTTGGGTGAAACGAGCGACGTTGGAGAGATGCCCTGCTGTGAAGAAACAACAGGCCTTTCTTTGTCATGTCGACTCTTGCGACGGAAGGGGCTGTTGCTGAAGAAAGCGCTCTTCTTTTTTGGTGATTTGTCATCTCCAGAAGTTGTCATCGGCACACTGTTTGTTGACTTTACTATAGACTTTTTCGTAGGAGTTTCCTCGACACTAGAGATAGAGGTTGAGTTCGAAACTTCGCTCTGAGAGTCTTGGCTAGACGGGCGATATGCGCTGGTCGCTGAGCTTCGTTCTGAGGGTGGCCCGGCACGACAGAACATGGTCATACCATCCGTGGGGTATGCGTTGTGGGGAACAGCTCCGATCTCTCCATGTTGCTCGGGGTCGTAGTTCGGAGGCGGCGCGCCACCACGGCGGAAGTCTAGAGGGGCAGGTTGCTGGGGCTGTGCCTGTAGCGGTGGTTGTTGTTGTGGTTGCAGAGGAGGCTGCTGATGCATAAGAGGCTGCTGTTGCATGAGAGGCTGCTGTTGCATAAGAGGCTGCTGTTGCATGAGAGGCTGCTGATGCATAAGAGGCTGCTGTGGCATGAACGGCTGCTGCTGTGGGGGTGGCTGCTGTTGTGACGGTAGCGGTTGCTGCTGAGGTGGCGGCGCATTGTTCACGGCTGGAAGAGTAGGTCGTCCTATTTGAGCCGGGAGCTCTGACTGTGGGTCATGGTGTGATTCGAAGGTTGAAGGCTGAGGAGAAGATGTGCGGAATGCAGGGTTCATAGTGCGTTGGAATTGGGCTACCGAGTAGCCATCAGCTTCATCTAGGTCAGAGCTTGAGTCGTCATCCTTGCAGAAGTTGATGAATCGGGGAGGATCTGGGATCTCTTGGCCAGTTCCTCGCTCCTTGATGAAGAACATAATATCCTTCTCCACTTCACATTCCTCCAAAGAGAGACGGACTTTCTCGCATGACTATACGTCGAATTAGTATTGCACAATAAACCCGGGCAGAATAAACATACGGCATCATCGCTGACACAAACAGTTGAAGCAATGTTTGCGTAGGTCCACAGACTGCTTTTTGTGAAGTCCAGACGCTCCTCTTCCAAATCTTGAAATTTGTCGCATGCTGACTTCCATTCCTTATTCCAACGACCAGTTGTCTCCTCGAGCTGTTTGACGGCCGCTTCGTATTCCTGGCTAGTTGATGCCAGCTGGATCTGGGTCTTCTCTAGCTTGGCCTTGTTCTTGCGCTCTTCCTGGCCCATGACCATGTGGCCCTGAGCAAGGTAGCCCTTGATCCGGAGACAGTCCTGCTCGTAACGATCACGAGTCTATAGAGTTAGTATTTTACCTCTCATCATTCCCCGACTTTACTTACTTTGTTGACGAGCTGCGTTTGTTGCATTTTGGTCTTGTGTAGGCGCTCAATGCACTGTTGAATAATCTTTCGTCGCTCCTTAATACCACTGGCAAACGCAGCAAGTGGCTCCTCCAATTCCGTCTTAATTTGTCCTGCAATTGCGGCGTGTGCCTTAGCGATAGCTTCAGTCTCGCCACGAACAACGTCGAGTGAGGCTCGGAGCGATCCAGTCTCGCATGATCCCAGCGCCTTTCGACATAGTACTTGGAGTTTCCGTGCGTATTCATCTTCGATGGTGGCTCGAGCTAACAAGATGTTAGAATTCGATGTTATTGCGGCTGCATCAACGTCACGTACCGCTGTAAAAAACCTTCAGTTCGTCGTTTGTGATCTTTGACCCATGCACGCGGTCCAACATTGGTTGAAGTCCTGCATCATCTTTGCCCCAGAAATTGTTGGCAACTAGAACAATTGTCAGCGAGTGCAAATGTACACGAGTGTAATGCCACATACAAGACATGCAGACCGTAGGCCCGTCTGTCCCCATTGTTATCGATGTTGACCCTCGGCCAGCCTTTGCGCATGCAATCGAAGTGTGTAGGAATTCAGGTACAAGGAGAACAAAAAATAAGAAACAATAACAGTTGATAATTTAAAAAAATGTAAGAACACAAAAGACCCTTCCTTGGAGGTCATAAGGTTTCGAAGTTGAAGGTGAGCGGAGGGATGATGCATGTTTACCGCTGCGTCTCTCGGGGCAACCATCGTGCAGCCGCCACGCACCGCGTTACATAAGCTCTTTATCTGCCCTAACCTTCCAATGAGATTGTCGACAATATTTATGTAGGGCTCTTGATCGGAGAATTAAGTATGATATCAAAAGAATTGTCAAAGTATTCATTTCATTTTGTTATTTCCAGTGCATCGTGCAACTATTCTATGTAATTCGGGACCCATAAATATTCAAATCCAGTCTATGTAGGCCCAACGCGAAAGCAACCCAATCCCATATCCACATAAGTAAAAGACACATGAAGAATTGTAGTTATTTCAAAATCCCTTCCAGTAAAAACGCCAGTCAAATATGTATCCCCAAAGCCGTAATGGGGATAAATCAAGTCATTCACAATCTTTCTTTTTCGTTGTTGCAATCATATCGTGCCATAGAACAAGGATCTCATCACTTCATGAAAAGCCTTGCTTGTGCTCATTTGTAAAAAGCTAAAGCCGTTGTCTCGTGCGGTCTGTCTTAGTAGGCCACAGGAGTAGCCGACGCAGAGAAGGTGCTGGAGGCACTGGAAGAGCCCCAGCTGCGGGCACCACGGGCCACGATAGCCGGAGAGGCAGAAGATGTGGCAATGGGGGAGGTACTGAGAGCTGAAGAGTACCAGCCATAGGGGCCACGAGCAGCCAGAGGAGCAGCTGAAGTAGGGATGCTCGGGATAGAGAATGTGCCGGAGGGAGAAGCGTACGAGTCGCGGGCAGCGAGGGGAGTAGGGGAGAGAGGGATGTTTCCGCTAGAGTAAGAAGGGGAAAAGCCACGAGCCACAAGGGAAGTCGCTGAGGCAGATGAGGTAGCAGCAGAAGAGTATAAGCCACGAGCAACGAGGGGAGTGGCAGTGACCAGGCTGGAGGTTGGGACCCAAGCGGAAGAGTACGAATCACCAAAGTTGCGAGCCACGAGGGAAGTAGGCGAAGCGGTAGAGGTGGCAATAGAAGGAGTGCCAGAAGCAGCAGAGTACCAGCCACGAGCATAGAGAGACTCGGAGGCAGAGGCGGTGGGATACTCGCGCGCGTAAAGCAAAGAGCTAGAGTATTCGCGAGCAAAGATAGCAGGCTGACCAGCGGCTCTCAGGCCCCGGCGGAAGAAAGAGGAAGAGCCAGCGGTTGGAAGAACATTAGGGGTCTCCCAGCACGAAGTAGGGCTAGCCACAGCGGTTGAGGGAGAGGTCACGCTTGAAGGTGTGGCAGTCACAGTCACAGTGATGGGCACTGGGTCGGCATTAGGAGCAGTAACTGTGGAGGTTTCGAAGACAGTGTCGACTTCGCGTGCGACTGGGCTAGAAGAGCAGTCTTCATCGGCATTGACCACAGAGTAGGTTGCACGGCGAGCGAGGTCTTCATTCTCGGGATTGGCGAAGGGCGCCGCGTAGGTCACGCTGATAGAGCAAAGGGCGAGGACTGCAGCAGAAGAGAAATGCATGATAACAGAGAGAAATTGAAGTTTGCAATAATAATTGAGAAGGGAAAGACGCTTGAGATTGAATGGAGATATAGGCAATGTTGGAAGAGATTTGGATAGAAGATAGGATTGAGAATGAAAGAGAAGAACTCAAGTCCGGGTTTAAAAGTTATACGAAAAGGATCTACTATCACGGTGAAGTGTACTTCTACTGGGCCAAAATTAGGCGGCTGGGGATCTACGGTGGCTGGGTTGACGGCAATCCAGCCATGGGTTATATTTTTATTTTATTTTTAATTGGCTTCTATGAGCTTTGATTGGGTGGAGCTGAGATCTGATCGAGCCCACATGGCGTATCTGCCAACCACGATGCTGTGGTGGGGTTTCCACAGCGACATTAAGTAAGCAATTGGTGTGGCTGGGGGCCCGCTCTGACACAACTAACATGGCATATTTTGTTTCACTGTCACCTAGTTTCTTTTCATAGATCGACTATGATGTCCTCATGCCATGATTGGTAGTAAATCTAGCAGATCTCCTGTTTGATCAACACGGCTGCCGTCACTAGATGGCAAGATCTTCCACTCTCAGCAATCCACACCCCAGCGCAGCGCTGGCCCAGGCTGCGCAAGGGCGGTTGGAGTTCCACCCGAGGGCTGTGACGTGGGTATTTTCTTCGTAAATCGTCGAGGTCCCCATCCCATTGATGGGGTTGGTCTCAAAAAGCTTGTACTTTGCCAACTTCTGGTTCTCTGCCCGGTATCCGTCATGAAATCGACTTGTGCCCATAGTGTTCGTCTTGGAAGTAGGAATCCATTCATGTGTGAACCATATTTGCTGCCAAATTTGCTCCTTGTTGTAAACAACTCGTCGGAAGGGATTCGTTCCTACGACCTCGCCTGCGGCACTGCCAAACAGGGCACAGGGGTGATGAAAACTGCATTGCGCCATAGCCGAGATGGTGCTGCTGAGCCGCGCAATGGTGGTAGTGGTAAAAAACCGTCGAATTGGAATTACGCGAGCGAATTCGTTTTCATCCCCGGCAACAACGGACTGGCAGATGGGAGAATAGCTGATGAAGGGGAGGCTCCTCGCATGCGGCCCGTCGATGCCATTTCGCTGGTTGGATCGAGGACCGACCACATCCTCGTTTCGCCATCCATGGAAATCGTGATGACTAATTGGGGATGGACCGGGTATGCCGATGTGATACTGAGTATGTAGGTGGCGTGGAGTGGCCGATAGAAAAATGGTAGAGGTTCAGACATGGAGGAAGGTTCGATGTTCCAGAGAGCCACAAAGCCGTTACCGCAGCCCACTGCAATATCACTAGGGGATAGCCAAGTGACACATGTGCAGACTGTTGATGGCGGTCTTGCCTCAAACGCAGGGGATTTGATTTTGACTGTATCTTGCACATTAGCGGGACTCGTGAAATCTCTCCAAAGGGACACTCACGAAATTCTGTTTCTTGTGACCCTCTACCTGTTTTAATATCCAAAACTCTCACATATCCATCCCCCCAAACTGTTGCGAGTAAACCAATGGATTCTTTTTCCTCTTCTTTGTCCTCCACCCGTTCGGTCCGGGGCAAAGTACACCATACCATGCGTCTCAGGTCCCCCCAGTCAGCACACAAAACTTGCCGAAGGCGGGGTTTGGAGTCCATATCGAGAGCCATTGTAAGAGTTTCACTCGGTTTGCCCTTAAACTCCCAAATCTGTAAGGCGCTAGGGAAAGGCTCCGAGGGTTGAAACGATGAGAGAGGCTCACTATCTTCGGATTTGTACTGGCTTTTCTGATCTTCTGTAATCGGCGCCGCCACAGCAAGATACTGAGTCAGACCATCCTGGTTTGGAGCCCAAGCCATGCAATGTGCCTTGTGGCCGATGTTTAATATCCAACCTTCTCGAATCCTTTTGATCTCAGCTCCTGATGAGTCTTTTTTGGAGTTTGGACTTTCCCAGGCTTTTCCAAAGTCAAAAGACTCATGATATCCCAGCTCGAAGAGTTGTTGATTATCATGGGGTCCTAGTAAAATGCCATGTTTTCGCGCATCTGGTTTGGGTAGGTAATTTTCGAACGCCATTGACTCTTCAATCGTCTCAATGCGCTGTCTTTTCCGGAACCTCTCACCAATGTCCCCATCATAATACCAGTCCCACCCGCGGGTGCTTTCTTTCAGAACATCATCTGGGTGAACCCCAAACGTGGGCCCGTATAGATATTCAGGCTTCTTCTCCGTCTCCTCTAATGTGTAGCGAGATGGAAAAACCGCATCTACACCCTTGTTCCATCGCATTCGGAAGTGGACGGCTGGCATCAAATCTCGATCGTCAGAACCGAACGTGAGAGTGTAATAGGTGCCTTTGGACAAGTGATCTCTGGGTTCGATGATACCACGAGTATGTGTCTCTTCGGCGGATGGTACAACTGTTCCATCGGCTCTTCTCTTCCTAACACTCGCATCTTGTTGGTACGACATCGAACGCTCTTTCCGAGTATCCTCGATGCCGTCGAGCTCCATTTCTTCAGGGTCGGAGGCATCGGCTTCTGATCCGAATTCCTCTTCTAGTCCCTCTTCAGGCTCATCTTCTTCCTCAATGCCCTCGTCGGCTTCATCGCCTGACCCAGCGACAAATTCATTATCTGAGGCTGAATCTTCTGTCGGGGCGCGCTTCTTTTTCCCCTTGCCAGGAATCTCCTGCTCAGCAGAGTCCTCATCATCACTGATCCCAGCTGCCTTAAATGGATCATCAACGTATACCGCCCTAGGACCCTTGAGGCGGCCAGACCTGCGGCCGGAAGGCATCTTGCTTAGATAGGTCGCGTCGTTAACGACAGCCAATGACAACAGTGATGTGCATGCGTAAAGCGTGTCAAATTGTCCAAAGCTCAGTAATATACGTTTTACTGAGCAATGCAGCTGCAATATTGTGTATTGAGACGTCCGCTATTTGATTTAGGAAATAGAGAAGCTTCAGCAATACGAAGGTCAAGGTATTGACGCTAGTCCCAAGATGGCTAGTTCTGTTGCCTTGGATTCTAGGCACCAACCGATTAAACCCATCGAATCGTGGGCTACATACGGAGTACAACATACCTCATTGTACAACTAGAAAATGAGGACTTGCAGAATTGACACCGAAAATGATCGCTTTTGAGGCCAGGAACGGCTGTCTTTTCACCCATAAATTTGGACATCCACCCCTTAACCACTCACTGTACCTAAACTAAACCCTATATAACCCTCCGACCTTCGCCTTTTTCTTCTTGTTTCCTCTCAACTTCTCTTTTCATTATGCGGCAAATATCTCTCCATGGACCGGGCTAGCTGTTGAACGTTTTTGATCGCACGTTCCATTATGTCTGTAAATCCTCAACTTGGAACTCGCTAACACTTCTCAACTCTCAACAGAGAAATCGAGAAAGTTCTTCCTCATTGGAGGCCCAATGACCTTCGTTGGGAAGTTAAGTGGATGCATCATGCCGATAGCATGCCTGTCCTTCTACTACAGTGCCGACCTAGAAGATGACGAGACACTGAAGGCATAGACGGATGAAGAGATGTTCAAAGATTGCCTCAGACTAAGCATGCCTCAACGACAATAATCTCTTCAATTTCGGCGATGACTGGCAGCTTAATTGCGAGGTCCTACACGAGATTGCTGGCCCAGTGGCATTAAGTGAGAGACGGTACACATCTCCCGATAGTTTGAGTTGTTCTGCAAGGAGTTGAAGGAGAATATCTCTAGCGCGAAGTAGGATTTCCCTGTTGATTGAAAACAAATAGAAAGCCGGGATAAGATTATTGAGGATCATGCGAGTAGTCTGCACAAGGTCGTTGCCGAAGTCTATCTTCTCATCGCGGATCAGGAAGCCTTCCAAACTAAGCGACTTCGGCTGCTCTATTTGGTAAACGGAATATCGTCCGAGAGGCTCGTGTCGACCTCCTGATTGGCAGATACTATACGATATTATCAGAGCCTTATACGAACCCCGTTGATCCTTACGGGTTTTCTACTGCTAGTGAAAAGTATCAGGTCGGTCAATGGGGAATCGGGAAAGGACTATCAGTTGTCCGAGCATGGAAGGGTGGCTTACAGGCTTGGAACAATCTTGAGTAGCTTCTCAGGGTCAAGAATGACCTCACCAAAATTAGAATAGGATTTCGATTCTTCAGCTTGAGTTGTTAGTTAAAATTACTGTGGTGCATAACGCGGTAGACAGATCGTCCTCGGTGACATTATAAACTGTATGTCGCAAAGTCATTGGCATAAACCTGAATTTTAAGCTCATGAGATCATAGAAGACCAATAATGTAGGGCAAATATGGCCCGCCCAGCCGCCCGGGGCCTACGAATCGGATAACGTCAACTGGCTCCCTCCACACCTTCGGGCTTGACGAAGTGTAACCTTATCACCAACCACACTTCCATCATGTCCTCAAATGCTAGTCGCGGGTCATCGCACAGCGGTTTCCTCCATGAATATGTAACTATTAATCGCTTCATTCTTCTCCATGACAAGCTAACACTCGTAGGCTCCCAGACTTGTGGCATTCGAGTTTACCCCACCAACAGAGGGGATCAATAAGACAAACAGCCTTATCTTCATAGGCGGACTGACAGATGGATTTTCCACTGTTCCCTATGTGTCCAAGCTAGCTAACGCTCTAGAGGACACCGACTGGTCGGTCTTCTCTACCCTACTCTCGTCCTCCTATGCCGGATGGGGAGTCGGAAGCCTTGATCGCGATGTAGAAGAAATTGGGCAATGTGTGCGATTTGTTCGCGATCTCAAGGCGTCGCGCCAACCCGGTGCAGTGACAACAGCCGGAAAGATTGCGATCATGGGGCATTCGACTGGAAGCCAGGACGTACTCCACTACCTTTATTCGCCGAATCCCTTGCCGCGGAAGGAGTTTGGTTTTGGCATTCAGCACTTGGTCCGCCCTGCGCTCGATGGTGCTATTCTACAAGCGCCTGCCTCTGATAGAGAGGGTCTGCAAGCTATTATCGATGCTTCTTCAGAGCCCGACGAGCTAAAAAAAGTCTACGATCAGCTTGTGCGCTCGGCCAAGGAGCATCCATACACATCAGATAAGAACGACTCAATCCTCCCAATGAACCTGACTGCGAAGCTTTCTTATCCGGCCGACACGCCTCTTAGTGCCCGGAGATTCTTGAGTCTAGTCAGCCCTCATAGCCCCGACGACCCATCTGATGACGATCTCTTCAGCTCGGATTTGAGTGATAAGCGTTTGCAGGAGACCTTTGGCATGGTGGGTACGCAGGGCATTATCACGTCAAAGCTATTGGTTTTGTATTCTGGAGAAGATGAATATTGCCCGCATTGGGTGGACAAGGAAAAGCTATTGCGGAGATGGCAGCAAGCCATTGAAGCGGGAGGCGCCAAATGGGATACGAACAGCGGGATCGTTCCTGAAGCCAGCCACAATGTTCATGCCGAAGGTCAGCAGGATCTCATTGATCGAGTTCTACGATACCTCAAGGCTCTCTGAGCGCTGGAGGTTGATGATATTGAAGCATATAAATGTGAAATCCAGAAGGCAAGAGAACGTTGAATTGATACCGACAGTAAACAGGTCATTCAAACACCACCCAAAAGTGCACGGATTGAGAATAACAGAGGTCAGAAAGGGGTATATCACAGCACGGGCAGTAGGCAAGTCCAGGCATGATACCATGTTGGATTTGAGACGAAGATTTGAGACGAAGATGAATCGAAGCATTGGGGCACCAAAGTTCCAATGGAATGGCCCATTTAGACCTTCACCCACAAGCTCATTACACCTTTGAGGTACTCGACAATCTCGGATCCACCCAGCTTACTCTCGCCGTACAGGCGGTCGACGAAGGTAATCGGACACTCGGACACCTTGTAGCCCATTGCCTTAGCACGGACCATCATCTCCATCTGGAAGCTGTAGCCCTTGCTCTCGGTTTTGAGGATAACCTTCTCCAGCACTGGCTTTTTGTATAGCCGGAAGCTTCCAGTCAAGTCACTCACACCGGGCATCAACATGACGTCCGCGATGAGGTTGGCAGTGCGCGAAGTGAACTTGCGGAACAAGTCCCAGCCGTAGACACCACCCTTGATATCTCCCCGGTTGGCATATCTGGTTCCGGTCACAATGTCGGCGTCGGTCTCTTTTTGAATTCGGATCATCTCAGGGATGAACTTGGGGTGGTGGCTGAAGTCAGCGTCCATGATGATAACAAAGTTGCCGGTGGTATATTTCAAGCCGTGGACGTAAGCTGTACCCAGACCGAGCTTTCCCTCACGGGGCTTGAGGATGATGTGTTCGGGCCCATAGAGTGTCTGGAGCTGCTTCGCGATCTCGAGGGTGCCGTCAGGGGATCCATCGTCGACGATAATAACCTCCCAATCCAGCTTCCTATAATCAAAAAACCACAAGTTAACCCCAGTGCGCTTGGGTTATATCAGAGCGAGCGCATACTCCTCATTGAAAGTCTTCTGGATCAACCAGATGATAATAGGGAGGTTCCTCCGCTCATTGTAGGTGGGAAGAATGACCGAGTACTTGTTCTCGGTCGCCATTGTTGAAAACCCACAAGTCAATTAATAAAGTAAGGAGGGTAAAAGATCCGAGCAAAGATCATATAAAAAAAAGAGAAAAGAAAAGATAGGGAACGTATGGCTGACAGCTTGTTGCATTCGGCAACGCCAGATCGCGGCCAAGTCGCCAGATCCGGCATCCACCGCCTGGCAGAATCCGATAGCTTATCGGGTGTTTTGCTTCGACTTCAATGGATTAGCATACATGCTCTGCTTTTCATTCTAATTGATCTCAAGAATACTTCAAAGGTTGTAGAGATGGATTCAGTACCAGGCAAGCACATTCGGAATATCTCCAAGTGTAAGTGCTCACTTCATTGCCACCCAACCGACTGTCCCTTACTGATTGCCTATGCAGCTTCTCGGCCCCGCAGCTCGACAAGAGGTCCTTTAGATGCATCAGATGAGTTAGTACATTGCCTTCCACCGCTATATCCTTTCTCTTACACGATCTAGTCCTCTCGCTCTCCCCGAAACACCCACCTCGCCTGTCAAACACAAATCAATGCTTGCTGCCGACAACGCCTTTTCTGGGGCATCCTTCTATGAGTTAGACCCGCTTGCGCCAGACGATCTACCTGAACCTTTAGAAAAAGACCTCTCGTTCCTACTCCGGCATAGCAACTTCCATACCCTCTCTCATCTTGAAATCCCTCTGCCACTGCGATCCGAATTCCTAATCCTCAACCCAGGGGAACCTTTGTCGACTACTCTAGGCACCCTAGAAAAGCTATTGGCCGAGGGTCGATTCCTCATTGCGGCGCATTTCTCTGCATCGGTTTTGACTTCGTCTTTAGTATCTCCGACGGATATAAAGATCATCTTCTCCCTTTTCTACACGCGGCTAGCCTGTTTGGATCTGTCGGGCAATACAGTTCTCGCAGCACAGGAATCGAAGGCCCTGGAAGATTTGAGTTCAGCATTCTATTATATCGATCTCGAGCTTGAATCGGCTCCAGTCGATGCTGATTATAACCCAGAAAATGACGAAGAATATGAACAAGATCCTCGTCATATTGTTCCATGGCCGCTTCGCGTACTGGCCGTGAGACTCCAGAGTATAGGATTTGGTGATCCTCGCCGAAGCATTGGTGGTTTGTACGAGATCGCCCTCGAAGCGCGCCGAGAGATCATGAGAAGCGAAGCTACTGAAGCTGAGCGAGAATTATGGAAACAGCGATTGGCAGATCTTGGGGTTAGGAGCGTGAATGCGCTTATAGAGATGCGTGATTTCGATGCAGCCAGGAGATCACTTGATAACCTCCGGGTACCTGGGCCGGAGTCGAACATCACAAAGTTGAGGAAGGCACTTTTGCTTTTGCGGATTGGTGATCTGGACGCAGCAAGTCAGGTATTTGGTGACGCCAATGAAGCGAAAGAGCCTGGTTTATTAAAGCCTTTGATAAGCATGTCGGATGGTCGCTTTGCCGATGCAGTGGCCGAGTGGCGTATTCTCGGGGAGGATAGGACAAGGACGGACGGGGCTCTGGTAGCTCAAAATCTGGCTGTGTGTCTTCTGTACACTGGACAACTGGATGAGGTATTTGACCCCTATCCCATACACCGTTTAAATGGTGATTTGAACCTGTTGACTGATTGTTCCTAGTCTCGTCGGCTCCTCGAGGCCCAGGTCGCATCCAACCATTCGTTTGGTAGTTTGATATTCAATTTGTCGACGGTCTACGAGCTTTGTAGCGACAGTGCAAATCGCATGAAGGGATGGCTGGCTGATACGATATCAAAACAACCTGTCGTCGGACAGACAAATCTAGATCGGCCGAACTCAGATCTGAAGTTATAACGCTTTAATTTGAAAATCACTTCGCCCTGTGGGCCATTGAATTTCTTTCTGCGCACGATCTAATAATAATTTATACTCTGTGAATGATGTCCGTCTGGTAATGATGTGACGTTTTCCCAGCCAACGCCATGCAATGAAAAGAACGCCACTAAATGCTCTTGTCCAGAGAAAGTCCAGCCCGACATGTACTCATGTACTCATGTACCCATGACTTATGCACTCGACGCACTTGGCTCCGGCTTAGGAGGGGTTTTCTGCTTCGGTCGTTTGATGATGATCCTATCACCTTCCCGCTCCCAGCGAAGCTTCTCTTTCTCGACCAATCTCTCCCATGTCCAACTCTGTTCGTCTCCGGTGCAGCCGCCCAAAATCCAGCTAATATGCACGCTGAGATAAGCACTGCCCACGGCCTTGAGCGCATGCCTGCGAACTCGGTCTGCAGCCCAATTCATCACTGCGCGGATATGAGAATCCACACTGTTGTGTAACTGCCAGAACACCACCCAATTATCGTGGATCAAGGCAGCCAAAACCTTATCCACTGTCTGCGACTGATAGGAATGCTCTTTCCGCGCCCGAGCACGCAGTTCGTATGCCGCAATCATATCTCCTTGTCGACAGGCATAATCAAGAATCAAGTATGTAACCAGTTCGGTGGCTTCAGCGCCGGGTAGTGGGTGAGATGGGGAGTGCAGTTTATCCAGAACGTATCGGAGAGAGGGG